AACGCAATATGTATTCAAATTGATTTTATAATCCTCAGCGATAATATCCACACCGATCTGACGTGAGCAGAAACGTATAAACGAAAGCATTTTATAGTAAATGTCCGAGGGATGCTTTTGTCTTTTCATCTTTTCAAAGAAACTAAACTGCTAATATTAATCTAGTGATTATTTCGATACCTTTAACTTTATCCATGCCTTTAACTGACTGTAGACAATAAAGTATTTGAAATCTGAATTTCAGTTTAAGTTGAACTTTTGTTTAAGGTTTGGCCACACTCTCACGGTTGTCTATTTACGACGTGTTAATAGGGTTATTTACACTAAATCANCCTCAACAGTTGCGCCCTGCCCCAGCGCCACGCCCACAGCCACGTCCACAACCCCAACCTCAACCACAATACCTACAATATGAAGAGGAACAAGAACAAGAGTCAGAGCCACCGCGTCGCATACAGTACTCGCCACCACCACAAGCTTCTGCCCCACCAGCGCCATCAAGAATACAAGTGCCTGGCGCCCAACGTACTACCGATGTTTTATACTCTCCACTGCAACGCCCTGCGCGTCCCGAACCGGACTACTCGCAGTTGCAGGTATGTGACCAGCAGACATACTAAACACAACTGATTTTATTAATTGATGCATTTATTTTAAAAACTTATATAGAATTTTCCATCCAATGTTCGTGTTTCACGACCAGTCTATGCGCCCGCTCCAGTTCAACCTGCACCTTCTAGCGCACGCGCTAATAACTTCCTAGGACCACCATCTGGTGGTCGCCCTATTCTGGAACCATCTCATTTTGGTCCAACGCCACAAGCTCGGCCAGTACAACAGTCTGCACCAGCGCCTCTACCTAGCTACCCACCACAGATCAACCATCAGCCACAGGCGCAAGGACGTACCGGTGGTGGCGGCGGCAGTTTATTGGATCAGTTGGCGCGAGACTATGCTTTACCACAGGGAAATGCTCAACCTTTGCATGACATTTCCTTTGGTTACTACTGAGCGAGTAGTCTCTTTGGGTTCTACTTAGGTGTTTAATTGTATGTATATCCATGTAGTAATTTAATGAGCCCCAAAATGAACTACAATTAATCATTGTAAAGCTGCCAATTTCTTTGAAAAATTGTAGTTTATAAATTACTTATGTAAGTATAATTGACAAAATAAAAAACAAAACGAAATACAAAGTACAGTTAAAAGCTATTAATAAAATGTATGTCATTTAAAAGAAGTTTTATTGAAAGAAGATAAATAGTGCCTCCATTCTAAAACTTGAAGTTTCACAAAAAATAACGGTTTTTGATTTGTTTTTATTCTTTTAAGATCACTTTTAAGTGATCTTGTTGACTTCCCACGCAAAAATGTTTGTGCTACTCAATATTGAATATACAAGTATGTAACATGTTTCGTTAGTTATATGATCTTGGTTACTTTTTATGTAAGATTAAGATTTTATTCAAATAAAATCTCAAAAGTTTTCAATGAAAAAAAATATACGTCATGAAACATGCGAGCGACTATTTAGTTAACAAAAAACCGAAAATTTTGGGATAATGGCGATTTATTTGTCAGCATAGTTCTTTTATCTCCATATAATTGACCTAGGGATTCTCAAATCTGACCCCTCTGAGGGTGTCTCGTCTTTTTGGAGGTTTTCAAAGTATGCCTCCGTGGCGACGATAACCTTCTCTTTCTAAACACACAAGTGATTCAGTTGAATATACTACATGTTATTAATGTACTAAGGAAAATGTATATGTATTGGAAAGTATTCATAATAAGTAACGAAAGTTGTACATATTTAGTAATTTAGTAAAGAAAATAAGTATATGTGCATTTTCAGCAAATGCTTTACTTTGAAAATTTGGATCTCCTATATTGTTCCACTTGGATAGCAAGGTGGTTCTTAATTGTTGATGATTTAAATTGACCCCATTTTTATAAATCTGCTGAAAGATTCTCCAAAGATCTTTAATTGGTGTTGGGCTTGGATGTATGGCTAGCAAATCAAACAGAATATTTTCACGACAGAAAATCTTAGTGGTGCGCATGTGTAAATTGAATATTGTTCCTGTTTGGGAATATTCCATAATCCTCATAATAGGTTCTATGCAAATTGAATCTATGTCACTATGTGTATATTTGTCGTTTAGTGTTATTTGGAAGAAACAAATTCTGATTTTCCTACGAACCAAAAGCACCTCAAATCATATTATTATGGTAGGTGTGACGCACCATAAATTTCAAGGCAAAGGTCACAAAATCGGTTTTTGGCTTTTTGTAAATATCTCATTTCACTAGTGGTTTTTATTGGTATTTATTATCAGCATTGTAGAATACAAATTTCTACAATTTTCTTTAAACAATTTTTCATACGTGAACCGTTTCGAGATAGAGGGCTTACGCGACAGCACACCGACGGTCCGATCAACGGCAATATAGCTTGATGAACATCGATAAATCAATGATTATAACAATTTTCAATTTTTATTAACTATTATATTATATTTATCATTTTTCCTTAACTTTATCTTTATAATATTCAGCAGTAATACGTAACTGAACGAAGTATACCACATTGATTTATCGATAGTTCATCAACTATATATGGCGCGTTTTTGATCGGAGGCACCGGTTGACCTGAAGTGATGCTGTGACCGCGCGCTCTAAGCCCTCTATCCCGAAAACGGTTCACCGTATGAAAAAAATGTTTAAAGAAAATTTGTAGAGAATTTTGTATTCTACAATACTGATAATAAATACCAATAGCAAAAAACCCTTAGGAAATGAGATATTTACAAAAAAAGCTCAAAAAAACGATTTTTGTGACCTTTGACCTTGAAATTTAATAGTTGCGTACACCCTACCATATGTTGGTTTTGAGACAACTTTTAGGGTGTCAATATACAAGTATTTACAGACTTACAGCTGGGTATCTGAATTCCGAGATTCTTACCTAATTTAAGCTTAAATGACTGGACTATTAAGCTAAGTCATAGAATAAAGTGCGACATAAATATTTTTGCACATGTACCATGATGTTGGAAGTCACTGTTATTGCATTCCAGTACCATTCATACTACTATGCACAGGTTCCTTATTAAGTACGCCACTGTACGTTCCAGCGAAATTTCATTGCCTACTGTTAGGCGACAATAAAAAAATACCAAACCAGTCTTTTATTATTTTACATACAAACTTTTTCATTTATTGTAATTAAGAAAAATTAAGTACGAATAAATGTATTCGTTCTGTCATATAGAATAGTGCATTATTAAATTAATAAATACTTAAACCAATATGCATATTTGCAATTAACGGAAGTAACCACAATTACAAATAATAAGTGAAAAGGTTTTAAAATAGATGCAGCGATGATCATCATACGAATAGAGAGGGAAGGTCAAAAAGTAGGTGTGACGTCGGACTTCTGCAACAGGGGGTTTTATAAAGGGAATTCCAATCCAAGGGAGGTACGGGATTCTAGCGACATCCATGAATTCAGCAACATTTCGTAAATATTTATTGTTGTATAAACAGTTTCTTAGGAAGCAAGGTGGTAGACTATTACTGATAGTAGATCTCTGTAAAGAAGATGGTAAGTTAAATTTTTGCGCAAATAATTATCTTGATTATCATTGGTGTAAGTTGAAGTGTATTGCGTGATGGATATGGAAGTGGGAGCATTAACAACAACCAGTGCGGGAAAAAGAGAATTTTTTGTGCCGTATTACTATTTGGAACTATATTAAGCGGAGAGGAAAATGAATGACACTTTATAACTAATTTTCTTTAACATTTTTTTAGCTATATTTAATCTTATATTTTATAATTAAATACGAAAATTTATAGAGAACAACCAATTTCTTCTTGTTTTATTAGACTTATAGCTAGTGACTGACTAAATATTTTCCGAAGTTTTATTCATTCACTCACAGTACTATGCTTCAAATTTAAATGCAAATAAATATTTTAATTAACAAATATGTACGTTTGTATAAAATGCAATTCGAAATGTCTTTACGGAGTACCCGCTCACTCAGCGCAGCACTCAAAAGGATAACATGCGATTGAACACGAGCGGATCATGTATTTCGTAGTCGTGATGCTTGAAGTAAGGTGCCGTGTGCACCTTCAACGTCGTAACCGAAGTGCTCGGCACTTGGCGACGCACTTTGTAAGGACGCGTAGACGCAGCCGGAGCGTGATAAACTGGGTGCAAGGGGGTGTGATGAGTGTTGTACGAAGAAGTATGGTGCGCGGCGTAGCTGTGTGATGGCGCAGTCGCTGCGGCTTGAGGTAATGATGGTGGCGGTGGTGGTGGCGCAGCAGCGCCGATGGCCGAGACTGACGGTGCTGATGGTAGAGGTGGCACATATGTTGGCTGATACTCATTATCGGCCTTATTTTGTGCAGGATCGAAGTATATGTGTTTCGTCTTCTGCACTGAAGCTGGTAGATACTTAAATTGATTATTCGACTTTGATGTAGACTGTGGCGCCCCTTTATAGACGCTTTTCTCCACAGTGAAGTGTTTTGACACATCGTTTTGCGTGGAACCGCGTCGTTTAGCCACCTCTAGTGCGGCTATAATGGGCGTTAGATCCTTCAGTGCGCTGTTTGCTGCATGATAGTTGTTGTACTTATAACCGCCACCTTGCTCAGCCTTCCCGCCAGTGGGTGGTGGGCTTGTCGGCCGGTAATCGTAGCCCTCATTGGGATGTTTCTGTATATAAATCTCTTCCGCTGTTTGTTTCTTCGCCATTTGATGATAAATATCGGAGGGATTGTCTGGTCGTTTCGCATATGCTGCGGTTATGGATTCAGTGTGTGACAATGACTCCAGCGGTCCCAAGTCATTGGGCAGACCGTAGGTGTGTAGATCAACACTCTCATTATTGAAGTCTCCACCAGGTCCAGTGTGTGCTGATCCATGACCGTGTGTGCCCAGCACGACTGTCTTCGAGGCGGTGAATTCCGTTTTGCCGCTAGGTAGGAGGCTAAGGATTTCCTGTAGTTGTGCGGCGGCTTTAAGTGTGTCCGCTTCGCTAAGTTTCTGGTGGCGTCCGTAAATGTTGAAATCATCGTTGTGTCCTGTAGATGTGTGTGTGTGTGTGTTACGTTGATGAGCATGTATACGTGGAGCGTGTAAAACAATGCGTTGTGGTTGTGATGTTCGTTTGTTGTTTGTGTAATGATATGGAAAACGAAAATTATTAAATTTAAATTCAAGTGAATGTTTGCGAGCATGAATTTTTTCTGCAACAATGTGGTTTGTATGTATGCAAGTGTGCGTGTGGAGATATCTATATTTACAGTGAGGTTTTTACTCACAGATGGATTTGAATGCTTGTAAAAATGAGTTATTTGTAAAGTTTGTACACGTTGTTGAAGCTTAGTACTTTATGATGATGAGTGTGTTAGTGTGTGAGCGTTTTTCAAACGAGGTTGTTGCACATTTAGAGTTGCAGATTATACACAATATGGACTTTTTGTACAAGTTTCTTGCGGAGTTATAGACAACTAAATAAATTTATTAAAAGTATAGATAAGATTTCTGATATATAATATTTACATATTTTCACAGGAACTATTACATTCGTTTTTTCTAGTAAATTCATCGTTGTTGGTGTTAAATTTTAATTTTATACAAAGAAATTTTTTTTTTAATATTATGTTTCATAAGTACATAAAATTTCAAGTTTCTTAAACATTACTTTTATAAATACATATAAACAAGATATAATACTATATAAAAACTAAATAGAAATCTTTTAATATAAGAAAGACCAAATAGGGGCTTTTGCTTGAAACAATAACAGCTATTTAGTTGTAAAATTATTTTGCCTTGTATAAGAAATATTATTTTTAACCAAGCAGGTTAAGGCAACTGGGAAACAATAAGAAGTATGAATATCTCACATTTCTTCTAAAAGAACTACAGATATTCGCTCAATTTTTTCTTCAAATTGTTCTTTTTGTGTAGTATGATAAACTCTGAAAAAACTCAACAATGAAGTTTGTAAATGATACAAATACTATACTTTTACTCTTTTGTATGATGTTTTTCAGTACTTCGAATATTTATTTTGGTTCCTTTCAAACCGTTAAACAAGTTAATTAGCCTGAAATTCCAAGGAAAGGAATCTCTGTGATACACTTACATATAGGTACATTACAGATCTTGTTAGCCTCGGAAAGGGATAGAGTGAATGCACGCAGGGTGCAAGGTCTTTTATATCGATATGTAAGTATTGAGCGCCTTTGACATTTACCAACCCTTAAGCTGGTTAGACATATTTTGGAAATCTTGATTATATACAGTTCTGACCATATATGGGTTTGCCCGTAAATACATGGAAAAACTACTCGTTTGACGGTAAAAAGATTTTAAAAAGAGGTGACGAGGGCTAACCACTTAAACTCCAGACTTGACTACGCCAGCAGTCGCCCTCCACAAATTACATAAAAATACTTTAAATATAAAAGCTTGTTTTCTATTTCAATACTTACTAGGGTGCCCGTTATTTCCCAAGTGGATTTATTTTGCAAAATCCCTGAAGTTTCAGCTTTTGCCCGAAACAAAAAGGATGAAACGTAAACAATCTCTTTATTTTTTGTTTGAACCATGCCTAAATCATATTACTTTTCCCATTTATCTAATATGGGAGTTTTTGATATTTTGAAAAAATCGTAATAGTCTTTGCGCAGAGCGGAATTTGGTATTAGAATATCAATTAGTTAAATTTGTAGGTTAATTTGCTTTGGAGATACACAATTTATTGCAAATGATACAAAAATCCTTTGTGAAATATATGGTTAAAGTAAAATAATTTCGGCTCGATTTATTATAAAAATAAAAACCTTGTTTACATTGCATAAAGTATATTCTTTGGATAAAATTTTTGAAATTACTAAAACATGAACTTCGAGTTCACAGAATTCGAATGAATTTCTCAAGTGAATATTACTACAAAAATATTACATTCTTAAATTTAAGAAGTTTAAGTTAATTTATTTAAAGATTATGTACACAATGCAACTAAGCTACAGATAACTTGATATAAATATAAAGTAGATTTGCACATACATTTTTACACAAAATATAAGTATTATATATAGTTAGTGGTATGTGTTATAATATAGTTTAGTTATTCTCACATTTACGGTCTATTTCGTTATTGATTTACTTATTTTCTACTATCACCAGAATATAAGCATACAATTGAAACTATTCAGTCTACGATACTACTTACCTAGAGGCCTAAAATTTCAAAAATGAAATAAGAACTTGTAAGAGTTATTTACATAAGTAAATATATATAAGTATATTATACTAAGTATTAAGCTATTGGTATTTTTGCAAGAAGATATGGGAGTAGTTTAATATTTACATAAGATGGTTCAACATTGAACTCTCTAGTAAACAATTTTACAATAAAAGCAACAAACATGTTACCAAGGTGAATTCGATACCGAAGAGTAAAAAGAAGCTAATAAAATCTTTGACGGAAAACTTTTTGTTGAGAGAAGTGCCACTACTCGTATTAGGATATTATATTTGGAATTTTACTTATACTTTCGGGGTATTTTTGTTACTGCAGACTTAAGTACAATGAAATCCATTCTTAATTGTTATTCTGGTTTGGGAGAGGTGCGCTTATATAAGGCGAAAAAATATGATTACATTGTATACTTGCTTTTGAAACCACTATTGTTTTAACGCAAAATAATTGAAAGTAATTTCATCGCAACATTTTGGAAAATAATAAGCTTATCACTCGATGACGTTCTATGGAAAGTAATATAACTGTCGTGTGTGAAAACACTATTTTGAAAACTTCAGTCGGATTGGCCTCGTAACTTTGTTTTGAGCATGTGTGAAAAGTTAGCTGATTTTAGAAAATTAGAAAACAAATATAAATACCAATAAAAATTTTTAATCTTTTCCAACTGAACATAACTTGATTACTTTGTAGTTAAAAATACAGTATTGTAAACTTTATTAAAGTGAAAAGAAGCCGATAATGAAATAAATATCACAACATTTATATCATATCATATTATCTATATTCTTACCTTGTTTTTGAGAGCATAAAAATTAATGAAATTGTGTAAACAAGTTCCAGTTGGATAAAATTTAATTAAAATATCCCAACTCGATATCTTTTTCAATTAAATTTTGAAATTCAAATTATTTAGTTGTAAGGTTAGTTCTATACAAACTTCTTTTTGGACTAAGTCATTTCAATGTCTACAATATGTCGGCAGTGAAAGCATCTTTCATTGGAGATTGTCGCACATATTTTTTTTATTACATAACTATTCTTGTCATTTGTCTGAATTTTATTTTGAAATCAATAATTATAAATTGAATTGGTATTCGTTTTTAATGAGCATAAGGTGGGTGTATGCGTAAATATAAATAACGATTAAATAATTGCACCTGTCCATTATATTTTTAATAGCTGTTTGTGAATAAAAAAAGACATGTGGATCTGTACATGCATATATAAATATGAATTTGTGAGCGTACATGATGATAGTAAAATACTCACATTTGGTGCTTATAAAATTATATGACCGCAACAATTGGAAATTGAAAACGGGAATGCGGCCGAAAATCACTTCCTTCCACATGGAAGTGCCAGTTTGAATGCCCAAACCAGATTTAATACTAACTTGAAACGCGTCGTGAAATTGTCATACACTTTATATTTGTACATACATGATTGTGCATGGTTGACAAGTTTCAGCCATAGATATAATAACTACGAGGAAGCCAAAGATACTTTATTACTTGCACCGGGGCATATGATTAACATTTGCATGCGCATATAAAACTAAAACTTACTGGAGTGTGTTAGTTGCATATGCGGGAAATAGAAAAAGATGACAAAATATAAATAGGATTAAAATAATAACGACTGAATAGTTTCATACTTAATTATGAAAATTTCCGCTTTCGTGGAAAACCCATAGCCCTCGCAGCTAACCAATACCAACACCAATATGCGAGTTCATGTGTCTGTACACTAAGCTTTGACGACAAGATTTGCAGCCCGTTACTACATACAAGTATGTATATGCAATACAGTCATGCAAAAGCCGGCAAATCTTGTTTGCTTGTCTTTACTTTGTGGTAAATATATTGATTTTCTGTTTTAACTACTACGCACCATCGTTCGAGTAGCCGGTTGGCAGATAATTGCTGGCGGGCGCTTCGAATGCCGCATGTCCGCTGCTGAACGGCGCTCCGCCGCCATTGTACCCGCCCGATGCTGGTGGCAAGTATTGATGCGTTGCTGAGCTGTAGGTTGGCGGCTTCGAGGGTGGGCCGTAGTTGCTATGGCCAGGAGGAATTTCATATGTAGTAATCGCTACAAAAATATTAAAAATAATATTAGACAAATAAATATAACATAAATATATGTCTGATCAAACAGATGTGTAATAAACTTGTCAACAACTAATAATAATGTAATTGTAGGAAAAAGTTTTGAAGGGAGAAGAGAGAGGTATGCTATGATATATGACTTTTAATGTGGGTAATATTAACTATGCAAATGAAATTAGTTTTGCAAGCACTTCATCATAAAATAGTCATTTTAGTCATTTTCAAGTCTTACAAAATTCATGCATGCAATTTATTTATAATTAATAACTTTCCGTCATGTCTTTTGTTAACTATGGCGACATCGCTGCGTAAAAAATGTGTAGCATTATTTACTATTAATCTACTGCAAATTATACGCACAACGTAGTAGTAAAACTAGAGATAGTAACGGTTTTCAGCTGCTGGCGCTTAACACACTATTAGTACACATAATTATTAATTCATGCTAGTGTAAGTACTTCAGCATCCGTTAGTTTATGGGAAAAATTCGCTGGCAACTTCTTAACCCAATAAAAATGATTACCTGATAGTGATTACTTTTTTATGTTTCCCACGAATTAGGAAGTTTAAAGACTACTAATTATGGGATTTTACTCAAAAACCTCTACATGATTTGCTGACATGATTTGCTCAGACAACGAATGCGACTAGTGCGAGCTAGTTTTTACGTCATGCGGTTAAGTTATTTGTTACGAAATCGTGAGTATGTATTATTCTAAAGATTTTTATGCAAATTCGATCCATTAAGGTCGATGAACAGAGATTTACCAATGTACTTTTCGCATACAAACCTTAGATTTGTTATTAGGATCACACGAGAGTTTAGAATAGGACTACCCACTCTCTGAGAATCGGATTTTACTTCAAAAGTGAAGTTTTCCATTGAAATATTAACTAGAATACAGTGAACTCAGCATAGTATTCTTATCTTTTCTTGACCGCAATTAAAATTCTTCACTTAATGTTTATATTTACTTAGAATTTTATGTGTGTGATTACTCATTCAATTTAGCATTTCTGCCTCCAAAAGAAGAATTTGTTATACATAATATTTTGTTATTTGAAATCTCACTTGCTCTTACAACTCGAAAATTAGGAAGCACATAATTCCAAAATTATTTATTGTTAGCTAAATACTAAAACAGAGCCGGCGTTATGGCCAAAGTGAAAAAGGATCTTAAAAATGTCTATGAAAGGGAGCCACTGGAATATAGTCCATTTGTTTTGTATTTAGACATAACCCTCAAAGGCTATGGTGCATACATTTCACAGCTTGCGGGCAATTGCTTAATGGGATTTTAAATTTTTGAGAACGATATAAAAAAATTTTAAGTTTAATTTATGGCCCCAGGCGAACCAATAACTTTTTATGGTTTGCCAAATTCTATACAAATACAATATAGGTACCAAAGAAGAATGGATTTAGAAAGCAGTGGAAAATATTTTTGAAAAGAGTATTAAATAAAATTTAATTTAATAATTATCAAACAGATTTCTAAAATTTTTCTGTAAAAGTGTTTTTAAAAAGGGTTGCCAACTATTGGAAAATAAGGAAGAAATGATAAATTATGGGTATAAGCTGCGGAAAGGTCAAGTTTGAGTTATAATTATTTTAGAGGCGGGCTATCGACTGTTAAATATTTTTGATTATGTAAGAGTGTGAAACTATGGAAACTTAAAAAGGTATAAAACTAAGACTATTTCAAAGAAACTATATTCGTGCGATTTTCAAAGAGATTTCGTTAATTGATTATTATTAAATTTTTTTTTTGCGTTAAAATATCATTATTAATTGAATGCGCTTATTCAAGAGGTTGTATGTAAATGAGTCTGTTTGGTATAACGTTGATCTTTCAAAAGCTGGTAGATATTTTCTTTTTAAGTGGTGGTTACAATGCTAAGCATATGTAATGGAGCTCACGTCTAATTAACTCGAAAGAAGGCAACTGTATTACACATAATGGCTTAGTGATTGAAACAAAATATCAGATTTAATTGATTTCGCTGTGATCAAAAATAAAGAAAGAAAAATAAAGATCGCTTGTAACTGCTAATACATCTACTGACTTATCTTCTGACTATTTTCCTGCGCTACTGCAAACAAAACAACAAGCCGCCTGGTCTTAGAAGAATCACAAATATTAAAATAGAAAAGCTTAAACTGCCCCCCTTTCACTCAGCTGCAATTGAAGTCTGCTGTACGTAAATTAAGAAAAGCGCTTAAGTTTGCGGAAGAATACAACACTAAAAATTATATAAAGAAACTAAGTCCAAATTCAACAAACAAAAACCAAACTATCTTTGGAAAGCGCAAAACACATTAAGTTTATTCCGAAATGCTTATAAGGGACGTAAGAAGTAATTGGGCGCGAAGCGAAGAGGAAAAATCAATTTGCTTTGCAAACCACCTAGAGAAGGGCCTAACTGCAGTCGTTCAGTTAATATGGTAGCTGTATGTTGTCATCCACCAAAATTTCTTCGAGCTTCACCATTGCTTTAAATAATATTCTGTGCTAAATTTCGTGATGATACCCAAATGAAAAGTTTCCATACAAGCACTTGATTCCTATCCAGTTTGTATAGCAGCATATATAGCAACTCCGATCAAAACAATTTCTTCGGGAATTACATTGTTTCCTTGGAAAATAACTTATGGCCAAATTTCATGAAGATATTAGTCAAAAAAGTTTCCATACAAGCGACTTGCCTGATTGTTCAGTTTGTATGGAAAAGATATGTGGTCGATATCGGCCGTTCTCGACAAATGAGCAGCTTCTTAGTGAGAAAAGGACAGGTACAAAATTTCAGACTGTATAGCTAAAACTGAGGGACTAGTTTGCATATATAACAGACGGAGACGGACATGGCTAAATTAACTCAGCTTATCACGCTGATCATTTATATACATATTTTATAGGGTTCTCGACATTTCCTTCAAGAAAATTCGTGGCAAACTTAATATACCTGTTGATAGAATACGATAAAATAATCCTTGCCTTTTGATACAATTTTCAGTTTGATATTATCCAAATTCATGGAAACAGTCGCAGATCATCTTGATGATTAAACAGGCGCCTGCTATATATAATATCTGAAAAAGTGTTACTATCACAGATGTCTCCTTTCTCCATGAAAACAATATACGATTTATTCCAAGCACCATTTCGGGTTTTGCAAAACATGGCACAGAGAGAAATAGAATAACTAACAAAATCAGAAAAGCATCTGAGTACAGAGAGAACTGTTCGGCAATATTCTTTGATATAACCAATCTGATAAGGTGTGGTCGAAGGATTTTTATAAAATTAAACATTATTCACTTTCTCATTGTATACATATTGGAGTCTCCATCTGAAAAGTATGAAATTTATCTAATTTCAGCTCAGATGAACGTCTGATAAGTGGTTGTACCTCAGCGGAGTGTGTAATCCCAACTCTATATATCTTATATACAGCAGATATTCCAAAAGATAATAGTGTATTGGCATCGATCTTTGCGGATGACACAGCCGTATTATGGCGTAATAAATGTTACATCAGAGCGTCAGGGTACTAGAGATTTAACTTTGGTCGAAGAATGATTCAACCGAATAAAATGTAAATTAACAAAGGTAAGCATAACATTCTCATAAGTCAAAAAAGTGTAGCGATTAAATATATAATCTTAGCACCAAGGCAAATGATGTAACTACTTGGTCATTACGACAGAAAGCCTACATGGAGAAAACATACTCGTATATCCAGAAAATAATAATATGAAAATAAGAGCAACAAACTTAAACCTTTAAATAAAATTTAAACTTATCCTTGAAAAAGTTCTGCTATAACGCGGCGATTTAGCGATTTTGATGAGTTTCAGTCAAAAAATCTCAGAGAATAACGAGTTCATCCGGCTATTTGCAATGAAAACATTCAAAAGACCTTTGATTCCTGTGGTAAGAAAAAAGTAGAGGACAGCAGAACGAATCATGAGCTTAAACTCCGTAATCATCTAACATTAGCTAATGCCTTACTACATTCCTGTAATCAAACTCGCTTAAAAAGAAAAGATCTTATTATTCCATTGTTCCAATATCGAACATGGCTGGAAGCTACTGAACGTCGCAACATTTATTGAAGCGTGTCAGTGTTTTTCTCTTAACTGTGTTAAACTTTGTGCTGAAAAGTGTTTTGTGGGTAGTTCTCATTGCTTTAATGTTAGCCAAGTTGTCGTTTATTTCGTAAAACAAATCGAATGTTAAGCCTAAACACAGCCAAACAACAGCAGCCGAATATCAGTGCTTCAAACTAGGTGAAATCATTAATGGGAATGCTACCAACAATAACTCATCGACAAGCGAGGGATTGCCGAAAACGGCCGGACTAGACAGTAGGCTATTATTTTTGGCGCACCGCCATATAGCCAACGCCTGACACCCGTCACATAACACTTAATTAAGTTAAATAAATAATTAAGAGATCATTTTGTTCTATCTGTAAATCCAGAATATAGTTGACATATATTAAAATTGAAAATGACTTTTAAAAAATGGTCCATAATTATAAGTAACTTCAGTCTCGACTAACTCTCGCCGATAAGACGTCTATTCTGTATACGGAGTTCTCTTGATTAGTTAGTTTCTCTCACACCACTTCTAAAGGGTGAATATTGGCCGCACTTAGAATACGCATGGTGTTGTTAAAGTAACGTGCAAAATGGGCGTAGGCACGAATTTGCGAAGCTAATCGTTCGCAATACTCGATACCGGTCAAAAAAAAAAAGTGATGAAAAGAAAAGTGATCTCGAAATAAGTGCACCCTTATCTGCATTCCCTTGTGCTCTGAAACCAAAATCGTTGACCCAAAATTCAAGTATAGTACTACCGACCATTAAAACCCCTTTCATCCTACTCCTGTTTCATATACACCGTGCCATTCAGCAGATCAGCAAAGTGCACTCAAACCTTCCTACGTGATGGAAAATTACTTCTTCAGTAAAAGCAG